GATTTATGAACATTCGATGATGGTGAGACGTGGGGGAGGGGGAGGGGGCGGGGTTATGGTCGGGGGGCGTATGCCGAATGTTTGTGGATTCGTAGCGGAGCTTCCACCGGCCAAAACTGAAAAACTTGAACTGACTGTCGAGCTCATTTATTCTTGTCGGAGTAATTTCCCCTCCAGGCCTCGTGCTCCGGCATTGTGACATGCGGTCATGTTTATTATATGTCGTTATACAAAGTCTCCGCCTTGCACCCAGTCACATGATCTCCGCCTTGCACCCAGTCACATGATCTCTGCCTTGCACCCAGTCACATGATCTCTGCCTTGCACCCAGTCACATGATCTCTGCCTTGCACCCAGTCACATGATCTCTGCCTTGCACCCAGTCACATGATCTCTGCCTTGCACCCAGTCACATGATCTCTGCCTTGCACCCAGTCACATGATCTCTGCCTTGCACCCAGTCACATGATCTCTGCCTTGCACCCAGTCACATGATCTCTGCCTTGCACCCAGTCACATGATCTCTGCCTTGCACCCAGTCACATGATCTCTGCCTTGCACCCAGTCACATGATCTCTGCCTTGCACCCAGTCACATGATCTCTGCCTTGCACCCAGTCACATGATCTCTGCCTTGCACCCAGTCACATGATCTCTGCCTTGCACCCAGTCACATGATCTCTGCCTTGCACCCAGTCACATGATCTCTGCCTTGCACCCAGTCACATGATCTCTGCCTTGCACCCAGTCACATGATCTCTGCCTTGCACCCAGTCACATGATCTCTGCCTTGCACCCAGTCACATGATCTCTGCCTTGCACCCAGTCACATGATCTCTGCCTTGCACCCAGTCACATGATCTCTGCCTTGCACCCAGTCACATGATCTCTGCCTTGCACCCAGTCACATGATCTCTGCCTTGCACCCAGTCACATGATCTCTGCCTTGCACCCAGTCACATGATCTCTGCCTTGCACCCAGTCACATGATCTCTGCCTTGCACCCAGTCACATGATCTCTGCCTTGCACCCAGTCACATGATCTCTGCCTTGCACCCAGTCACATGATCTCTGCCTTGCACCCAGTCACATGATCTCTGCCTTGCACCCAGTCACATGATCTCTGCCTTGCACCCAGTCACATGATCTCTGCCTTGCACCCAGTCACATGATCTCTGCCTTGCACCCAGTCACATGATCTCTGCCTTGCACCCAGTCACATGATCTCTGCCTTGCACCCAGTCACATGATCTCTGCCTTGCACCCAGTCACATGATCTCTGCCTTGCACCCAGTCACATGATCTCTGCCTTGCACCCAGTCACATGATCTCTGCCTTGCACCCAGTCACATGATCTCTGCCTTGCACCCAGTCACATGATCTCTGCCTTGCACCCAGTCACATGATCTCTGCCTTGCACCCAGTCACATGATCTCTGCCTTGCACCCAGTCACATGATCTCTGCCTTGCACCCAGTCACATGATCTCTGCCTTGCACCCAGTCACATGATCTCTGCCTTGCACCCAGTCACATGATCTCTGCCTTGCACCCAGTCACATGATCTCTGCCTTGCACCCAGTCACATGATCTCTGCCTTGCACCCAGTCACATGATCTCTGCCTTGCACCCAGTCACATGATCTCTGCCTTGCACCCAGTCACATGATCTCTGCCTTGCACCCAGTCACATGATCTCTGCCTTGCACCCAGTCACATGATCTCTGCCTTGCACCCAGTCACATGATCTCTGCCTTGCACCCAGTCACATGATCTCTGCCTTGCACCCAGTCACATGATCTCTGCCTTGCACCCAGTCACATGATCTCTGCCTTGCACCCAGTCACATGATCTCTGCCTTGCACCCAGTCACATGATCTCTGCCTTGCACCCAGTCACATGATCTCTGCCTTGCACCCAGTCACATGATCTCTGCCTTGCACCCAGTCACATGATCTCTGCCTTGCACCCAGTCACATGATCTCTGCCTTGCACCCAGTCACATGATCTCTGCCTTGCACCCAGTCACATGATCTCTGCCTTGCACCCAGTCACATGATCTCTGCCTTGCACCCAGTCACATGATCTCTGCCTTGCACCCAGTCACATGATCTCTGCCTTGCACCCAGTCACATGATCTCTGCCTTGCACCCAGTCACATGATCTCTGCCTTGCACCCAGTCACATGATCTCTGCCTTGCACCCAGTCACATGATCTCTGCCTTGCACCCAGTCACATGATCTCTGCCTTGCACCCAGTCACATGATCTCTGCCTTGCACCCAGTCACATGATCTCTGCCTTGCACCCAGTCACATGATCTCTGCCTTGCACCCAGTCACATGATCTCTGCCTTGCACCCAGTCACATGATCTCTGCCATGCACCCAGTCACATGATCTCCTCTCTCCAGGTTTATCTGGATCGACCTCCAGGCTCCCTCAGTCGTCTTCTGTCACATCGTACGTCACGCTGCGGAGGGGCACCGACACTTCCAAGGTAACGCCATGGAGCGCTCGCCTGCTCCTGTCCTGGAGATCCCGGAACGTTTCTTTCCTCTCACATTTCCGGTTGTTTTTATCTCGGCAGGACAGACCAAAAAGTGCCTTTGAGCGCCTTTATTCCGGCGACAACCAAAGAGGTAAAATCAGCGCCGAAGAGCAGCTCAAGCGCATGAAGCGCCATCAGAAGGCCTTGGTCCGCGAACGCAAGAGGACGCTCAGCCAAGGAGAGAAGACGTCCGTTATCGGCCGCCCGTCCTCGCGGCCCGTGTCCGCGGACATCAGCTCAGTATGTTAGCGCAGGGGGAGGAGCCTCCACTGACTTTTTCTTCTATAGCATCTGATAGGGAGCACTTTACCGGCAGCGTGCATGGCGCCAGCGTTCTAGAAGTAGGCGTGGCTTTCCTAGCGGCAGGGACCGATAACCGGGTAGAATTTATAAGATGAATAGTTTCTATTTTCTAAGAAAAAAACAAACAAAAATAACCGTTTCCACTGACATGGTCATCCTCAGCTTCTAGACTGTTAACAAGCACAAACCCTGTATAGGCGGGAATATGACCCCTCTGGCGACCTGTAGAGGGCACCAGGCAAAGACGGGGTGACCGCGCCTGCCTCCTGTGTCACGTGACTTAGCGTGTTGTAATAGGGTGCTATGCATACATGCAGTGACTTCCTCCCGACTCCGCTGTGTCTCCATCCTTTCCTCTAACATACCGCCAGCTGCTCCGCCTCCATGTTCCGCCTCCATGCTCCTCCTCCATCTGCTGCTGAAGAACTCGCTAACCGCCATACTCATTGCTCCCGGGCTTCCTCCTCATTGTCGCTGCCCATCCAGTAACTTCATCCGGGCGCCATCGTCATAACTACCGCCGGGGCAGACAGGGAGGGGAACAGGAAGTACCGCCTTCTGTCATTACTGGTGCCGGGCAGTGTGACACCCGGGGAGGGGAACAGGAAGTACCGCCTTCTGTCATTACTGGTGCCGGGGCAGACAGGGAGGGGGAACAGGAAGTACCGCCTTCTGCCGTTACTGGTGCCGGGGCAGTGTGACACCCGGGAAGGGGAACAGGAAGTACCGCCTTCTGTCATTACTGGTACCGGGGCAGGCAGGGAGGGGAACAGGAAGTACCGCCTTCTGCCGTTACTGGTGCCGGGGCAGTGTGACACCCGGGGAGGGGAACAGGAAGTACTGCCTTCTAATGTTACTGGTGCCGGGGCAGACTGGGAGGGGAACAGGAAGTACCACCTTCTGCCATTACTGGCACGGATTGTCCTTTCCTTGTAACCTTCCCTGGCTGCTGTCACTTGGGGTGGGAGGAAACTCATCAAACATGGCTGCCGTGTCACTAACCGCATCGCCCATTGACTCCCCTCCCCCCCCCAGTACTACACCGACGCCCAGGATTTTATTATTTCGGGGGGGCCTGTCACTCGCAGGATCCATTGTTATAAAAGCTCCTAATGGAGACCAGTGGCATGGCGGAAGGGAAGAGTTGGCCTCCGGTGTGGGTGAGTGACATTGTAACCCTGAGGGGCCATTAATAACCCCGAGGGGCCATTCATAACCCCGAGGGGCCATTAATAACCCCGAGGGGCCATTCATAACCCCGAGGGGCCATTCATAACCCCGAGTGGCCATTAATAACCCCGAGGGGGCCATTTATAACACCGAGGGGCCATTCATAACCCCGAGGGGCCATTCATAACCCCGAGGGGGCAATTTATAACCCGGAGGGGCCATTTATAACCGCCGGTCTCCCATTTATGACGATTTTCGGCCACTGTTGTGTTCCGGTGATTTCCGTCGCCCCGCGCGGTCTAATCTGATATTTTTGGTACGGGAACAATGAGGAAATTTTCCTCGAATCCCCATTGTTTGGGGTTTTTGTCCGTTCAAAATTTCCATTTTCAAATATTAGAATCCGGAGCCGAAAGCGATCTCGCGGCTCTTCATAAATGGGCCCCCAAATCCATCCCCCTGCTTCACTGTATAACCCCGAGGGGCCATTCATAACCCCGAGGGGCCATTCATAACCCCGAGTGGCCATTAATAACCCCGAGGGGGCCATTTATAACACCGAGGGGCCATTCATAACCCCGAGGGGCCATTCATAACCCCGAGTGGCCATTTATAACCCCGAGGGGGCCATTTATAACCCCGAGGGGCAATTTATAACCCCGGGTGGCCATTAATAACCCCGAGGGGCCATTTATAACCCCGAGGGGCCATTCATAACCCCGAGGGGCCATTCATAACCCCGCGGAGGCCATTTATAACCCGGAGGGGCCATTTATAACCGCCGGTCTCCCATTTATGACGATTTTCGGCCACTGTTGTGTTCCGGTGATTTCCGTCGCCCCGCGCGGTCTAATCTGATATTTTTGGTACGGGAACAATGAGGAAATTTTCCTCGAATCCCCATTGTTTGGGGTTTTTGTCCGTTCAAAATTTCCATTTTCAAATATTAGAATCCGGAGCCGAAAGCGATCTCGCGGCTCTTCATAAATGGGCCCCCAAATCCATCCCCCTGCTTCACTGACATGACCCCTCCCCCTCCGTACTGACCCCGCCCCCCAGAGAGCAATAACTGCGTGGTAGGAGGCGCTCGGCGTTCTCTCGCGATACTGTAACTTTTATAAAGTACTTTGTGTAGAATTCTTGGCTCAGCTTTCCGATGTATGATGACCAGAAACACAATAAACAGAAAAGACTTCAAATGTCACCTCTCTGCTGGATGTTATTGGGGTTCAGTTGGAGGCGGAGCCTGGAGTAATGAGTATCGCCCCGGAAGGAGTGGCTGAGAGGAGCGACATTGCGGATTAAAGGGAAACAATCGGCCCGTCCATCATTTCGGACCCTCACCTCCATCCTCCCTCCGGAAGGTTCACACAGAAGTCTTAGGAACTTTGACCGGAAATCATAAAATATTCCCAAATGTTGGGATTTCCCCCCAACATTTCAGAGAAAATACAGGTTAGAGGGCGTCCTCCCCCGAGGGGTGTGTGAGGGGTATCCTTGGAGGGCGTCATCCCCCGAGGGGTGTGTGGGGTATCCTTGGAGGGCGTCCTCCCCCGAGGGGTGTGTGAGGGGTATCCTTGGAGGGCGTCATCCCCCGAGGGGTATCATTGGAGGGCGTCATCCCCGGAGGGGTGTGTGAGGGGTATCCTTGGAGGGCATCATCCCCCGAGGGGTATCATTGGAGGGCGTCATCCCCCGAGGGGTGTGTGAGGGGTATCATTGGAGGGCGTCATCCCCGAGGGGTACCATTGGAGGGCGTCATCCCCCAAGGGGGGTGTGAGGGGTATCCTTGGAGGGCGTCATCCCCCGAGGGGTATCATTGGAGGGCGTCATCCCCGAGCGGTGTGTGTGAGGGGTATCCTTGGATGACGAGTATACCGCCAGCTACACTGCGTTAGGATCGCTGGAGGGCCCGTTGGCCCCATAAACACGATGATCGGCTCCGGGAATTGGCTGATTGTTTCCCTTTAATGTATGGGGGAGGGGCTGTGTGGGGGGCGATCGATCGATGTGATCGGATGTCACATGTTTTGTGTATTGAAAACCCAGAAGATGATTTCTCCCAGAACTCTGCAGCTGGAGGCCGATCCCCGAGGGGCCGGAGGGCTGATGACGCACAGCATGGAGGAGCGGCCGGCACCAGATCTCACTGTATGTATGTCCGCGCAGAATCTGAGGAAGGACGTTCTAGGTAATTGGATGAGAAGCGACAATTTGGGGAGCTGGAGACGCCCCGATAGCGAGGATAACCAGGGCCAGTCTAGCCAAGATTTATCCAGTTCCTGGAATGGGGTGTTGGGGGTGTACAAGGCCTGGAATGGGGTGTTGGGGGTGTACAAGGCCTGGAATGGGGTGTGCGGGGTGTACAAGGCCTGGAATGGGGTGTGGGGGGTGTACAAGGCTTGCAATGGGGTGTTCGGGGTGTACATTGGGAGGTCTGGAGACATTGACCCGGTTTTGTGTTGTCAGTGGCAGCGAGAACAGGAATTTGATCTGCAGTTGCTGGAGAAGGCGGCTCGAGACGTGGAGGACAGGGATCGGGAGGACAGGGATCGGGATGACCAGGACTGGGTGCAGGCGACCGCCATCCATGTGACTGAGCTGGACCTGGAGCCTCAGGACTACGACTTGGACATCAGCAAGGAGGTAACACATCCATCATGTCACACACACGGCATGCAGAGTGGTTCCCTTTCCTTCTCTATGGGGGGGTGGGGGGGCAGGGAGGAGGAGCGGTGTGCAAACTAATGGCGTCCCAGAATACTCACTCACTGTCTGCCATGGGATGCTGGGATCTGTAGTTCCTCACAAGTATAGAGACTGCAGATGAGGTGCTGGAGAATAAGTCTTAAAGACCTGACACTGGACTGGGGTGGCTACGGTATATTCCGGTCGATACTGCGGTATAGAATATTGGGTCTGACCTGTATACGGAGTTCCAGCGATAGGCGTCATATACCGGTGCGCAGTACATAAACGCAGTATCGGAGCGATGAGGAGATGTCGCCATCTAGTGGGGAAAATACATTATAACCTGCAGAGAGCTGAGGGTGACAACTGCTGTCACTGGGGGGGATTCACCCTCTTCCTTCGTCTTGGTGTCACCAGGACTGAAAGTGACAGGAAATCCAGCATTTTACAGGTGTCACCACAACAGGAATAGAGGGAAAATCTTGGGGACAACTAAGAGGGGGATTCTCCTCACTTCCTGTTGTTTCTCTTGGACAGGAAATCTCCCCTCACACAGACAACTGTCACCGAACGGTTATAATTCATTGTACAATGTTGGACAGTGGAGGGGCAGTTATGACTCATGGAGGGTCAGTTATGACTCATGGAGGGTCAGTTATGACTCATGGAGGGTCAGTTATGACTCATGGAGGGGCTGTTATGACTCATGGAGGGGCAGTTATGACTCATGGAGGGTCAGTTATGACTCATGGAGGGTCAGTTATGACTCATGGAGGGTCAGTTATGACTCATGGAGGGTCAGTTATGACTCATGGAGGGGCAGTTATGACTCATGGAGGGGCTGTTATGACTCATGGAGGGGCAGTTATGACTCATGGAGGGGCTGTTATGACTCATGGAGGGGCAGTTATGACTCATGGAGGGGCTGTTATGACTCATGGAGGGGCAGTTATGACTCATGGAGGGTCAGTTATGACTCATGGAGGGTCAGTTATGACTCATGGAGGGTCAGTTATGACTCATGGAGGGTCAGTTATGACTCATGGAGGGTCAGTTATGACTCATGGAGGGTCAGTTATGACTCATGGAGGGGCTGTTATGACTCATGGAGGGGCTGTTATGACTCATGGAGGGGCAGTTATGACTCATGGAGGGTCAGTTATGACTCATGGAGGGTCAGTTATGACTCATGGAGGGTCAGTTATGACTCATGGAGGGTCAGTTATGACTCATGGAGGGTCAGTTATGACTCATGGAGGGGCTGTTATGACTCATGGAGGGGCAGTTATGACTCATGGAGGGGCAGTTGTACAATGTTGGTACAAATCATTTTGGGTTCATTTCCTGTCCCCGGCAGTTGGCGACTCCGGACAAAGTGGACATTCCGGAGAGGTACATCGATCTGGACCCGGATGAGCCTCTGAGTTATGATGAGCTGGAGGCGCGACGGCGGAAAGTCCAGAGGATCAAGAACATTCTGGCCCGGTCCAGGTGAGCCCTCCATCTGTCCTATCCGTGTCTGAGGAACGTTGGAGCCGGAACTTCTCCTCCTGTCTGGGCTCTGGTTGGGGGTCTCCTCCTGTCTGGGCTCTGGTTGGGGGTCTCCTCCTGTCTGGGCTCTGGTTGGGGGGTCTCTACTCTCTCATGTCTGTGTTCTAATTGGTCTGTTTCCTCTGCAGTGTACACAATCTGCAGCCAATGTCGTACCCGGATGAGGTGGGTCCCTCGGATATGGACAGCCAGGTGCAGGAACAGGAGCGGATGATCACCATTTCCTACGCTCTGGCCTCAGAGGCTTCTCGGCGCAGCAAGCAAGTTGCAGGTGAGAAGGGGGAGGGGCCTCGTCCTTGGTGCCGGACATTGTACCTCATTGACCGCTCCGGGATTGTTTGGGAAACTTCTTAAACTTTCAGACCCGTGTCCCTCAATGAGCTTCAACAAATAGATTTCATGGTAGAAGAAGATTTTCTCCATGAAACTTTGAGGGACAGAAGCAGTCCAGCTGAGGGGTGGGGAAGAGCCACTGACGAGACCAAATGAATTTGGGAAGCATCCGCATTCCAGAGGTATCTGAAGGCCCAAATAGAGAGTAGATGAGATGAAGCCCTCTACAAGACGGGGGACTGCCCACCAAGGGGAGGGCGCTCCAGACCAGGACAGGGAATGACCCCAAGGGGAAGCCTGAAGAACCACAAAGTCTTCACCAGCAAGAGACTTGAAGACCAACAAGTGATGGGGGAGATCTGCGGCAAGGTTCCAGCGTGTTCTGCCTGCTGACCGTCCAGGGGGAGCTCAGAGCCAATCAGAGATGGACATTTCCTTCCATATAGGAAAGGAGGGGCACTCAAGTATTGAAGCCTCACTGCTCAGAGTGGAGACCATCAGTTGAGAGGATCTTGTTGTAGGAGGGACAGTGCAGTCAGCGCCTTCCAGCGTAGGGACCAGGTCACTGGACATGTCACAGGGACAATTCCCGAACCTTGGTGGTGAAGGTCCTGCGGGGCTCAGGTGATATGCAATGTCAGAATGTTGACCCCCCAGAGGGAACCCTCCAAAGAATCGGGAACTGTCTGTTTTGGGGAACGAATGGAAGTTGTAAGTATTAGGCTGCACCTATCAGAGAAGTCCGCCCAGGGTGGGGGAGGAAACGCCCCATCCCTCTGCCAGAGATTGGGGGACCGCACCTGGGACTTCTTGATCCAAGTCGGCCATCTTAATGTCTTGCTCAGGGCCCAGACCCCCTTCAGGGAGGCTGAAAAGGAATGAGAGCCCATG